AATACAATACAATACAATACAATACAATACAATACAATACAATACAATACAATACAATCAATGCACACAGAACAATACAGCCAGCACAACGAATTAGACAGTCCTGATAATAATATTCTGATATAAGGTTCTGCATGGATTATAATATATATTACGTTAATTAATTGATTGATGACAGTTAATTATACCTTGAATGCATGCGTAAGAAAGGGGCATTGTACTGTAAGGGTGGACAACGGCAATAACTCGATAGGAATCATGAGTGAAAGAAAGAGCAGGTTGCACATTACAGGGTCTGGGCTCGGTACGCCCTCCGCCTGGGGGCATGTTCCACCTATCCTCACGTGTAGGGATCATCTGTATTCTGTCACATAGGCATACATGTCTGTGGCTGCATTCAACAACCTGTGTTCTCTAGGCATCGTGACGGGGTTGTATTGGTGTGTGGTAGGAATAGTGCATGGAAGATGTTTGTAAAAGTGGTTAGGAGATCGTGTCTGTGATATCAGCTTATGTTAGATGTACCTCATTATATATCTGATATCGTAAGGTAGGCCCTAACCCAGAGAGCAGGCCGATATGTGTTTTTTCCTATGTTATTGTATGCCCTTTTATTCCATTGTATTACTGGCTGATGTTTCTTGTGTACCCACTGTTATCCTTGCCTTTTTCAACTCTGTTCATTTCATTTTGTAAGCATATAACCATTGTGATATTTACAACACCTGCGTACTGTCACAGATATAAGCCTCGTTCACACGAGACCTCGTATTTATGAAATACGGTATTTGCGAAATACCGAATCTGAGGCAAATACGCGGCCGAGCGTTCACACGCTGATTCGCGGCTCCAGAAATACGGTATTTGCGAAATACCGAATCTGAGACAAATACGCGGCCGAGCGTTCACACGCTGATTCGCGGCTCCAGAAATATGGTATTTGCGAGCTGCGAGCTGCTTTAAACAATCAAGCGAACAATGCGAATTAAACAATGCAATGCGCACCAACTGCCGATAAAATACGTTGACTGGTCCGCGCTCGACAGTTCCACTCGCGTTACACTGGAACTGTCGAGCGCGAACCAGTCTATAAAATACGCGGCTTCAGAAATCCGGTATTTAGCGTTCACACGAGGAAATGCGCGGTCCAAGAGATCCGGTATTTCTCAAGCACGGCAAATTATTCGGGGTCTGGGAAGCCGCGTATTTACATCAAATACCGGATTTGTTTAGATACCGTATTTCTTGGACCGCGCATTTTGCCTCGTGTGAACGCTAAATACCGGATTTCTTGCTACGTGTGAACGCGGCTTTTATATACTGAATGTTTGCTTGGTTTAGGTGTAGCCACCTTATCGTGTTGTAGTGGGACGTCACCACCACTCGTGAACTGTCACATTTCTTATGTTGTGAATCTTTGCTTCAGGTTCAGGCTTCACTTCACTGTGTCCCAATGGGATGTCACCACCACATGTGTACTGTCACATGTCTTATGTGGTGAATCCTTGCTTCAGGTTCAGGGATCCCCTCACTGCATCAGAATGAGACGTTACTGACTCCCGTGTACTGTCACGTGTCACATGGGTTTGTCACATGTCACATGTTGTGAATCTTTGCTTTAGGTTCAGGCATTCCCTTGCTGCATCCGAATGAGACGTTACTGACACCCGTGTACTGTGTCACATGTCTTACGTAATGAATCCTTGCTTTAGGTTCAGGCATCCCCTCGCTGTGTCGGAGTGGCACGTCGTCGCGGGCGTCGTCGCGGTCAACGAGTCCCAGCGGATGTTCGAACTACAGCAGCAGCAGTTCGTCGATCCCCCGCATCACCCGCAGACACTCGCTCACTGAGAAGAACCTGCACAGGTGAGCCTCGCAGCTACTATCCCCGCCTCGCAGCTACTATAAGCTGTAAACACACTACGCGATTTTTCATGCGATCGAGCCGGCCGCGATTGCAGCCGGCCGGCTCAAATAATTATCAAACATGTTTGAATCGGGCGACTTGGCCGGCCGACTCGAAAATCGACCGCGACTCACTGGACACATTACGCGATTTTTCATGCGATTGAGCCGGCCGGCTCGGTCGGCCGGCTCGATCGCATGAAAAATCGCCTAGTGTGTCCCAGTGTACACCGCTATATCCCCGCCTCGCACCTGTTGTTGTTTTTGCTGCCATCGCATACGCGCGTCGCTGAGCGGTGAGCTGTCTAGACGAGGCAGGTGCATGGGGGCTTTCAGACATTCTAGCTAGGACCTCGTATAGACTACATACACACATGATGTACGCAGGCTAGATTATATAGATTATCGCCATTTTCCTCTTAGTGTGTTGTGCATTGAGGAAGCTTTGAAGTTCATTGCCTTTCCTATGCCATTCCTATCTTGTTCTAGCAGTCGCTGCGCTGGTATTGGTTGCGTGTTCAGCAATCTGTAGTGTCAATAGAGATAAAGTATGGGACATTCGACTCACTAATTGGCAACAAAGGATTTCTGTGTTTGAAGAAGTTGTGTTTGAAATGACCACACAGCGCAGACAACCTAGTATTAGACAATGGAAGACAAGTGTGTCGCTCCTGGACAGCTCTCTAATCTGTCATGGTTGCAAGATGACGTTTGTTCGCTCACCACTATAATATTTAGGAAAGGTTCAGTTGCATTCAACCTTTAACTACGCCGCATTCTGCGTGCTGCGATCAACCTGATGGCTGCGACATCTACTGATCAAAACTGCGGCCACGTCGTCGATGATTTCTGCAGCAGCGATTGACGAAGCCCGTCGCTATAATCAGTCTGCTTGTTGACAGAGTGGTGCAGTCGTCGGCAGCGACCGCTTCTCCCCCGCGCTCCGCTGGCGCCCCTCAGCAGAACAAGACGGTCATGGAGCGACTCAGACTGACCAAGGACAAGAGTAAGACACCCACGGCCAGTGGTCAGGGCAACATGGCTGCTGCTGGTAGCCATGGCAACTCGGCAACTGAGGGACGGCCCGGCGCAAAAGCTCCCCGGAAAACTCTCGGTAGGTGGCGATTTTCAGTAGGAGTAGAAATAGAAAAAAAGAGAAATAATGAAATGGATATTGTATTGCAGTGAGTGTTAGCTACCTGATAAACATAATGAGAGAAAGGCAATTTCACGCATGCACACATTCACACGCGCACGCACACACATGGGGACATACTCACATGCAAAGTATTAGTACCCATATACTTGCACCTGCTTAATCTTATTGCATGCACGCACACATAAACACACGTTCGTGTACACGTATTTGGTTTAGAATCCAGGGTTTCATACGCATTCATCATAAATTTGAATCGCAATGCTGGCTCTGAATCAAATCTTGCTGCTGATATTACTCATAAATTGAGCGTGTTAAAGCAGGATTACTAATAGCCAGGGGCCCATTGTCAGAAACAAAATTAGTCTTAACATTAGCCTTAACTTTACAATGTTTCAGGCAACAGGCTCTAGGCAGTTACATTCAATAGAAATTATAGCTTAGCTTCAAAATATATGTTTCTTGCAGTCTGGGGAGCAGTTCGTGATGATGAAAACGTTCAAATTCGAGCTTTTGCGATACAATACATTCTTATTCAATTCATTGAAGCCAGACGCATTAACAGTTTAAGTAATATACCGTGCAGGTACAGCTTCGACAGATTACCGCATACGCAGAATAACTGCTGTATTTGTTGCATTGGCTAAAACGTGTATGCAATATGAGATGGAGTTTTTAATCAACTTTAATTTACTCGTGATATCACAATGAGCATGACATGCAGAAATCTTTTGTGGATACCAAAAGCTGTACATGCGCACGTGCCTACGTGCATGCATGCGTAGTGTATTGCAATATTTCAAAATACTGCATGCATACATGATAATTACATAACTTGGCTAATATAATTTTATGTAATCTTTAATACTAATTTGTTCTTTTCATCCAGTTTACATAGATAGCAGCAAGATTAAACATGGCTCCTCGCCGAATCTATCGCAGCGCCAGCTGCTGAGCACGGCCAACAACCGTGGCGTCACCGAGTGTCAGCTGGAGGAACAGATGCGCGGCTCGCCCGGCGCCGGCCGCAGACAGCAGCCCGCGGGGAAGGACAGCGGTCACCCGGATGACGCGATGACCGCTCACGGCGACCACCCACACAGGGGTGCGGCCGCGCAGGTGAGGAAGGCGGCGCCCGACCCCGCGCACGGCAGGCTGTCGAAGAAGGAGCGCCGCAGCGAAGACGCACCGCGCCACGGCTCCCTACTCGACGTCAACGACCGCAAAGCTGGCCGCAAGAGCTCCCCGTGCGACAAGCGCGCCGCAGCGTCCGGCGGTCAGACGACGGGTCAAGCGGCGGCGGATGCGGCCGCGCACCGGACGAAGGGCTCGAAGATCGCCAGTCTCGTCGCGTCAAAGTCCTCGCCTCCGGTCGGCAAGACGTCGTCGAAGACGAAGCAGAAGGTCGACGCGGCGGACACAGCGGCGGCGAGGGAGGAGCGAGGGGGCGCCACCGTGTCGAGGAAGCCGTCGTTGAAGCCGATGGCGGCTGTGAAGGGAACGTCGAAGGTTTCGCGCGATGTTCAGATGACGTCCAGCACTCATAGATCGGCGAGCAACCTCAGTGGCAAGGAGAGACCAGAGTCTTCTGTCATGGTGAGACTCTCGAATCACAAGCCATCGCACGTTATGTTATTAAATTATATCAGGGGTTAATAATGACACATTTTTTGTCATTATTAACCCCTGATTATATACTTACTGCTTCCAAAGCAAGTGCAGCCAAACCTAACTAACAGTAACTAACTAAATCAAGGATTGCCTGTGACACTAATTATTATTGCATTGTAAACTTTATAGTAAACTGGTTTGCTTATAAAGTATGAATTAAATTTTGTATAAATATTGGCTGGGTGCACTAATTTAGTGATATAAATAACCTTGCATATACTATCAGGAGTGTATCAAAATTTTGATACACTCCTGATACTATATATATCAGTATATACCAGGTTATATTATAGATTTCAGGAGTAGTCCCATTTCAGTTAAGAAAAACCTCTTAATTTGTCCTAGTTCATATACCGAATGTCCTTATCACACAGGTTTATAGCTCAAAGAAACATATATTTTGATGTTGACTTAAATTGTACCATTCGAAATTGCACTTAGTTAACACTGTTGGCAACACAATACAGGGCCTTATACTATACATGCTAAGAAATTGTGGGTCACATGTACATATAGCGTAGTATTATAATGCCCCAAGGGGAGAGAAACACTTACATGCTCTAAAGCGAAACATGAAATACCACTGTTCATCGATAAAAATGCTTCCGTTAAAAAGAAGAGCACTTAACTCGGGTTTAGTGTGAAGTTTTCCCTCTAAGTGGTAAACTCACAAAGTAAGTCACAGTACAGGGATGTGGACGCAGAAGAAAAGAACAATTATATCTATATTATATTCATTGCTACCTATCATATCAGGAGTGTATCAAAAGTTTGATACACTCCTGATCATATGTGTCTATAGTGAGAGTATAAACCGAGCAGGCGTGAATGTTATATACGTCATGCTTGGTACTAAACTAACCCGTTCACGTACAGCTCATAAACTGTGGCTTTTGAAAACAATTCGTTAGAAATATCAACCAATTGGTAAACCAGTTGTGTCATATGTGAATCGTGCAAGCTGCGTGACTGAGACGAATGTAAATTAGATACAAACGCACAGCTAGTTGTGCCGGGCCAATTAAATCCAGGCATCCATTCGGCCAGGGTACACTCGTTATAAAATCTAGTGGATGAGCATGTTTCTTGCTAGCTTTGTGATGTTTTCTGCTGCTCACTTCTCGTGTGTAAGAACCAGCATGTTCTACATACTGTATGTACATGTGGTGCGTGTACAAAGTCAAAACATTGGTGTTATGGTCGAAATCCAATGGAATCGTATGGAACATCAAAACACACGAACTGGAGAAGTCTCGGTAGAGAATCGTATACACTAAACTTGCTGCCATGCTTTGCGTTATTGATTGCGTAAATTTTCTTGCTTTTGTTCGTTAGGATGTTCGCCAGGGGGAGCATGTTGTGGCTAAGCCGACGCCGCTGCCGTCCCACAGCATTCAGCCTCTGTCGGGCACCAAGGCTGAGCAGCCCAGCTCGCCAGTGCACATCGCCAAGGTGACTCCGATGAGTCACATGAGAGCGCCACCTGTGAGCAGCAGGGAGCATGCGCACGAAGAGGTGGAGCATGCTGTGAGGGCTGGTGAGCTGCAGTCACGTCGAGATCAGCGCTCGTTTGCGTTAGGGTTTTTGCGCGATTTTATGAAGTCGAACGATGTCTCTTAAAATGGAATTAATTAAACGCCTGGAATTTATAAACTTCTAAGAACCTCTAAACTTCAGTAACTAAATCTTCCTGAATATAATCATACACTAATTGCCCTATTTTTAGGAAAATTTGTTTACCCACGTGTGTGAAGGTTTTCCTAAAACTCATACATACAGTCCAAATCGTCCTTATGTACTTTGCGTTATATTATTATATATTTATGCGATTACTGAGAAAAAATGTGCTAACAAATGTCTGTTGTTTGTAGCAGATGATCAAACGAGTAGTCAGCATCACAATAAGACACGAGAGCAAAGTCAAAGGGAGAAGCCTAGTTCTAAAACTCCCCATGATGCCAAACGAACAGTGCCAAAACCAGCTAGTGATCAAAAGCAGCAAGAACCTACTGAAGTGCCATCTAGCGGCAGAAATCATCAACGAGCTGATGCCAGTATGAAACTGGAAACAACCTTTGACAGCTCAGATCAGGTACGAAAAACAACTACTACAGTGTAGAGTGAGTGCTAGGCAGAACTATATTACCGATTTGGTTATGATTGACAATTATGATGATCTATGAGTTACAATACTGAGATACTACATAATAGCATCAGATATACTTGTAACTATAACTATGAGCAACAGCCAACACATGTTAGGGCCTCTGTCCAGCATTTTAACATGTTCGATGAATAATAATATCTAACGTACTAGAGCTTTTTTGTACTTGATTTATAGCTCAATATTCTCCCTCATCCAATTCTGACCACATAGTATTTTATGACACACAATTTATTACACACAGTTTTATCACACACAGTTTTATCATAATTACCCGCCATATAATACAGGAAGCATATCACATGTTATTGTAAATATGCCTGTGCTTCATGCCAGATTGCAAATGGATACGTCATTTTTACCGCTATCCTATTTTGTAGATGAAATAAAATTCAGTGGACCCTAATAACATGGTAGAATATGAACGTCATTGTGAATTAGTCTGATGGTTATTTATACATGCAGGTGATTACGCAGACGGTGAGAGCAGCAGACAAACCCCAACTGGAGACGAACTTGAGTGAGGAGTCAGAGGACATGAGTGTGAACATCAAACCGATGCAGCCGATTGTGAGGTCGTCGCCGTACGCTTACATGCGCAGCGTAGGGAGCCTCAACACCACCAAGTTCCCACTGTCCTCACTACGCTACCACACGGCCCAGGTACGATCGCCAGCTGGGAACAGGGCCATTTCTATGTAGATGTGGCCCTGTGGAATTCCAGATTTGAGTTAGGAAACCCCATCAAGCATTTGGCTAGGTAGAGGTTCCAGCTTCGAATTGTGGAGAATCGGCTAAGCATTTCTGTACATGTGTGGCTTGGTAGGAATCGCAACTTTAAGTGAACGAGAACCAAGCAATGAGGGTATTTTTTGTGAATGTGTGGTTAAATACAGTCAACTCTTCCAATACTGATCACCCTCAGGCCCGATCATTTAGTTCAGTTTTCTGTGAAGGACGATTTAGAGTGTTTTTTTTGGGGGGGGGATCATACATGTCTCAGATGTTATTGGGACATAAAAAATTGCGCGATTTAACGTGAAATTCGGTTTTGCGGGCGTTCGGAATTTAGAGAGTTAACTGTAGAAATCCCACGCCAGTATTGGGGAAACCTGTAGAGCAAGTTGGTGGAACTGTCATTGACTATAACCAGCAATGCGGTATAGCGGGTAAAACTTTCCGAAGCTTGTGGCAGCATGTGCAGTAATCTGTGCCAGCAGTCATATATATATATATATATATATGGGCAAGGATCCATTATGCGCACTTTGTTTGATCTTTAGCATTTCTAGCCAGCAAGTGGCCAGGCTCAGCTTAATTGCTTTCGTGGCAGAAGAAAATATTTGGGGAACCTTTTTCCTGGTGTTTGCATTGCAGCGGTTCAGTCAGAAGTGCAGGTGTAATGATTATGTGCCATGCTGGGGTTGTGCTGGAACTGCTTTCACACATGTGCAAAATATAACAGCAATCTCCTGGCCTGTAAGAGCCATAGGAAACCCGTATTTTGTCATTTGTCTGCTGTCTATTAGGTGGCAGCACTGGTCAGTAAGTTCTAGTCTGTTTCTTCTGATCCTTACATGGCCAAAGAGTCACCGGTGCGCAGCGATTTATTTCTCATTTAGCGCATATGGTTGGCTTGATCACTAACCAAGACCCAGTGAACATATTATTAGTTACCGAAAAAGAGCATAACACTTTGTTAAATTTAAATTCAGTTTTAATAGTGAATAATTTTCGATTTGTGCAATCTGATTCCACTATTTATAGTAGAATTTGGACAGTTCCAAAAAATCTAGAGCCAACTGTTTTAAAGGTGCTGGTATGAATTACCTACGATACGAAATTGATAATAAATTTTCGTTTATTTGATTATTAGTGGAACTGGACTACTGTTTTATAGCTTTACTAAGTTGTGAATTGAGTGGTAACATGTGGCTTCGTTTTAACGAAGGTATAGTCTGTAACAGACTCCCTGTGGGTGTGCTGCCGTGGACCAATGCCAGCTTTGGTGAGTGTGACTAATGAAACTGTTGTTTGCAGGATGCGTCTGCTAAGCCGCGGATCACTGCCAGCCACCACATCCTGTCATCGAACGAAGTCGCGAAGGGTCATGGCGTCCGGCAGACCGAATCTAGTGGAATGCTACTGACCGACGGTGATTTCGGACCAGATCTGGACGTGGTGGACATCGCCGAGGGCTACATGTCGGACGGTGGTGTTCTGCAGGGTCAAGGCAACATTGACGATACACTCAGTGGGTAGGTGCCATGCGGACGTCGATTCTTAGTTGTGCTTCATGAAGTGATCATGAAATGACTGGAGCCATCTCAGCCGCCATGTATTATTTTATCATTCCGAGATTTTTCTTTCGGAGAGTGTTTTTGGTAGGCTGTATTGTGTTTAGTACAATAATGTCTGTTGTCTATTTGCAATCTTCTTGTTTGTTTTTCCGAGTGCGGTATGGGTGGGAGAGGTAATTGTAGACAGGAAAGACATCGATATAAACTCTAGGTAAGAGAAGAAGAATGGATAGGATACAGTGTGCTTAAGCAGAAAACCTGATGTGTTTATAGTCAGTCAACATTTGGTCAAACTGAATTACAATTTCTTCTTTTTTTATACGTTTTGAAAAAAACCAAGTTTGCTCAATCAGAGAGTCGGATTTCTGTGAAACATTAGAATTCATATTGCCGACATGCTGTGCCTATTAACAAAACTTTTTTACCTCCCTTTTTTCTGTCAAACAATAATATTGCCTACACTCTAGAGTTTCTTGTAGCGGTTCTTGCTCTTCCATTCCTGTGGTTAAAATAATGAGTGCATGAATATTTATTTCACGTATATCTGCTGAAGTATTCCCTCTCGTTCAATACTTGTCTACTTATTCGATCACTGGTACATTTGTGAATAATTAACAGGTCGAAAGTGTGTTTTCAATCTATTATTGAGGGCTTGGAATTTGTGATTATGTAAATTGAATAATTAAAACATAATTATAACAATGTGATTTTCATTAATCATTTAAACAATTGCTTAAATAATTGA